AAATCGTTGCATCAAAATAAGAAACAAAACAAGGTCATATTTTTTCAGTGCATCTCCTAAAAGTAACTTTTCACCCTCCCCCTAAAAAAAAACATCAGCAGAGAGGTTTTCATTTTCACAACATAGTGAGGCACTATAAAGAGTCTGGACAACACATTGGGCAAGGACAGAGACAGTGAGGTACTGGTGGCAATGTTTTTCTTCTTGGCTGTCGTGCATTTATCACACTACAGTTTGATGTGTTCTCTCAGGTACTTAAACAAGTTAGTTTTGTTGCTATGTGGCAAAGACATAAGTCTCATACACTCCTTGCAAAGGATGTGTTTTTGTTCAACATCACTTGCCCAAAATCCAAAATACTTCCCAGACAATAGATGATGATCCTTTTTGACTGACTGGCCCATCACCATCAGCTCCAGATATCAGATTTTTGTTTTGCCTGTCTGCTTGCTGCTGTAAATTACTCTTCTATTTTGAACTGCAGCTGCAACATCCAGGAAATCTGTGCACAGGCTGCTGCTGCAGGGGTGCGTGCGCAGCAGCATGACGGCTCCACAAAAGTAAAGCCAAAACATTTCAAATGCTCCTGTGTGACTGGCTGTCAGTTTGGCAAACAGTCGGTTTGTCATGCAGTGGAGTTTTCAATAAACATGGCTTCCAATTGTGCATTATAATCAAAATTCATATTCAATTAATGGTGCAGCCATAATGGATATAGCTAAGATATCTAAGAGGAAAAGGTCCACAGATTGCAATGAAACTGGCATGACTTTACAGAGACAAATCAGTTTCATTGAAGCTTTAACAGAGCAATAGTCAATATTATGTTAAAGCTAATCTTTCTGATGTGTTGGTATTATTGAAACTCCACTGACACTCCAGAGTGTGACCAAAATTCTGACAAATGTGACTCAATCTTACATTAGACCATGTACTTTCCCACTTTTAAAACTACACAAGACTAAAGAAAAGAAGAAAACAATCTGCACACCTTGTGTGTTTAAAGGTGAGGTGATGAATATAACTTCACCTTTGGCATCGGACTCATTCTAGTGCTTCTATTTCATAATGCGCACTGATCTTAAGTATTCCATGTTTTACTGAGTTTACCTAGCTGACTGTTAACATGTAGTGAATTACTGTGAAAGAGCTTCTTATGTGTTTTAGTCCACATAGGTGGTTAATAACTATTATCAGCTTCATAGCTGTTCCTGACTGATCAGAACTTCGATCATTAAGAATCACTGAACCTTATTCAGAATTTCTTTTATTTATTTATTGACACTTTCACTGTAATAGTTAATTTAATGTTTTACTGGACACATAAAATATATTTCAGAAAAATGAACAGCTATTTTAAGGGGGAACCTATGTTCAATTTCATGTCTTATCTAGCCTACATATTGGTTGTAAATAAAAAACCTGTGCCAAAAAAAAACTTTAAAATAACGAAACTTGTCACTTGGTTCAACTCGTGAATCTACTGAATCAAAAACTTCTAGTTATCACTCGCTGTGAAAAGCAAAATATACATTAAGATAATGAATTTATGAAGCCTATAAACATCTGTGCGCTGTATATGGAAATGCAGTGCTTTCAGTGCACTCATCACGTTGCTACCACCACCACTGTTTGCCAGCACTTTCCAAAGGAGCTCATCTAATGAGGATGTCACTTGTCTATACAATCAGTGCAGTTCTTAATGTATTTTCTCGTCAAATATTTTGCCAATTTGTGTCAAGCACTGAAGATGAATCACATGTACACATTTATTCTTATAGAGCATAAGAGGCAGGACTGATATAAGCAGAGAGGGAAGTTTCTCTATCATCGTGCTCGATGTTTTGAAATGTAGGCTAGTGGTCATAAAAAACTACCCACAGCGAGCTGCAGTAAAAAAGTACCACATACCAGTGCAACCAATGACAAAAGTTAGTTTAAACTCTTGGTTCTGTGTATAGCTATGGTATAAACTGCGCAGTTAAAGGAATCCACCAGAAAGTTGAGGCTTTGAATCAGTTGAGGAGTCTTGTTTCGGTTCAGATTCTTTCAGTCGAGTATTTGTCCAACGTTTATTTACATGACAACATAAGCATCACTGTGGTCAACTGATGAAAGAAGCTGATACCTGAGGTGAAGTGATACTCAGGTCACAGGGCCAGTGTTTCGCTTTAAAAAAAGTAGCCTTGTGGGCACCCTGTTTGTGACGTAGGTCCACTGTTGTGGGAAGTAAGCCACTAGTGCGCAATGTAACCAGCAAGAAGCTGCAACGACTGTGAAATCCATGTAGAGGTGATAAAGTTACTGTAGTCAGCAAAGTGTCTACACAGGTCTTATTTTCAGTCAAATAGCTACCCAAGTATATTGTGTTTGCTGCTCTTAAAGAAGGAAAACACAGGCGTGGTTCATGCAGCATTACAATGGTGTCTCTCTCTGCCTCACTTATATCACTGCAAAGTTGGTCCTGACAATGGCAATGCATGAATGTGGTTTTATTTGTTTATATTTTATTCATTTTAACAGCATTTAAAGTGAAATCAAAAACTGGCAAAAAGTGCTTGATTTCAACAGTAATATGTGTGTACTGCCTCATTATTCCAACAAACCTATATGGTAGCCTGACATTATGCCTGACCAGCCCCACGCTAGCTTAGATAAATTTAAATAAGGTAAAGTGTTGTATATATTTAGGATATACATCATAGCTTTGGCTTTAACGTATACCATCCATCCATTATCTATACACCACTTAATCCTCACTAGGGCTGGAGCCTATCCCAGCTGACTCAGAGTGAAGGCCGGGGACACCCTGGACAGGTCGCCAGTCTATCGCAGGGCCACACTTAGAGACAGACAACCAAGCATTCACATTCACACCTACAGACAATTTAGAATCACCAATTAACCTCAACATGTTTTTGGACTGTGTGGGAGGAAGCCGGAGAACCCGGAGAGAACCCACGCTGCACGGGGAGAACATGCAAACTCCACGCAGAAAGATTCCGCCTAATTTTCTTTTGCTTGATTTTACTTTTAAGTGCATTATATCATCAGCTGTACTTTATGGGTAGGCATTTTCTACTGCCTGTAGATATACACAAGTATGGCCTACTCATGTATGGGTTTTTGTTTACTGTGTATTAACTATTAATATTTTCTTTATTTCATGTTGTTGTTCATTTGCCAGGTCACACATGTAAACAACAATAATAATAACAATAATAATAGAGAATCATCAGCAGTAACACACTTTGGAATCTGTGATTCTCCACAAATATATAGGTCCATGATGGTGTAAATGTAGCAGTATTAGAATGTCAGCACTGTTTATAGAGGAAGACTCACATTAAAGCCTGTCACACTGACAATTAGTTCCCGTCCTCCTTTCCATGCCACCAGAGAGAAACTGATAAACAATATGAGAGTGAATAACAGCATTATCTTCCAGCTGATATCAAGGTCAGACGAATGCCTTTTCACAAACTTTTTCATTAGGCCACTTGTATTAAGATGCATTTTAATTACACTTTTAATTAACTGGGCAGGTCATTTACATGGGATGGGTTAAATGAGCTGAGCTATCGCAAATTAGGAGGAGGCTACCATTTCTAAATGGACACAAACCCTCTGTGGTGCTCTTAAAAAGTCATGGCCAAAATTAATCTCTACAAGGAGGGGGAAAAAAAACCTTTTGAACAGACTGTTTAACCTGCAGCTCAGCCAGAGTCAAAGAGTTTATTAAGTGTCAGTGTCACCCAACCCTGGGTGCAGGGAGTGACGAGGACATGAGAGTGCAAAAACACCTTAAAACCGAATTAACTCTATGGCCACGGTGACATCCTACATTTAACTGTTCGTGACTAATCTCATTACATGCACTCATTCATACACGGGCACGCCCCCCCTCCTCACAGGCTGACAGACCACCTCTACCAGTCACACCACTCTCATTTCCTGCAAACTGAAAGTCAATGCAGATTTTTATCCAAACACTACAAACATAAACTATCAACACCAACAACAAAAAAAAATCCTATTATCATAACCACAACCATTTCATCACTGCAGCATCCCTCGAGTACATTCAAAACTCAGTCTACATCCTGCGTTAGTCACTGCCTGTTCTGGCAACGTTAAACATCTGAATCAAGCAGGACTTGTTTCCCTAACACTCACCATTATTGTGGCTTAACTGTTCAACTGATGCCTTCGTCTGTCAATGCGTCACCGCACAGTCATGTTTGTAGGCAAACAACAGGTGATTACAGCAAAAACAGGATGCTCTCTGCGCATATAATCAATCGCAGACGTTAATTTTCATCCAGTGCATTCAGAGTTGCAGCAGGTAATGAATAAGCGCTGAAACAACAACGCTCCGATCCGGAGGTATCGGCAAAGTTAAAACAACACAGGCTTAACGTTAGATATTACCCTCGGCAGCCGAAGCAAATATCTAACCACCAATTAAAATAAGTTTGCTTGCTCTCTTGCCACAAACAAAAAAGTCGATATGACAAAACAACTTCGAGTAGCGTTAACGAAGCGGTGCTAGCAAAGCTTTTTAACTTTGCCAAGTTTTAGCCAGCTAGCTAGTGTTGACTTAGTGAACTTTCAGGTGCATTTCACGACGAGAAACCATTCAACAGTAGTTAAAGGGCTAACAAACTTCAAATGAAACTCAAATTTAAACACAGCTCTTGCCTGTTGTTAAGGTCTGAACCAGTTTGCTTTGTTACCCACCGCCTGCTAATTAACTAAAGCTAGCTGGGAAGGTAACTGTTAGCCAACACAACCTATACCTGACTGTCATCAAGACGAGACACACTGCGATGTTTTGGACACATCGGCAACAGCTAATTGGCTAGGTTAGCTCGCTATTTTCTCCAACAAATAAAAGTTCAAACAGCTTTCAATGAGCCGAGCCGTGTATTGGTTTGGGTGGCTGTTGTGTCCAAGTAAAGGAGGCTAGCGGTTTGAGAAAGGTAGGAGAGCAGTTTTACCAGCTGCTGTCGTATCCACCGTAGCATCCTTGCAGAATACGCTCGAAGTAGCCAGCACAGTCGCTAGCCCAGTGCTAGCAACTAGCTACTCCAACAAAACGGTCCCGGAACATAAATATTTCCCCCCAGAGGCAGCCGTCCTCGGTCGCATTACGCGGCACACTCACACAGTGCACCGGTGCAGAAAAGTACGTGCAATCTTTCCCATTCCGCGGCGATGTCAGACAAATGGTTTCTGGTAAAAGTGACAGACGGCTGGCCGCGGAGTCCCAGCGAGCTATGCTACTACATCTCTGCTCTGCCACGATCACTTTCCCTCTGCCAGCACACACACAGCTCTGTGCGGATACTGATGCTCTGTGACGGCCTCACAACGCCCCCTGCCGGTCCGCACTCACACTGATAGATAGATAGATAGATAGATAGATAGATAGATAGATAGATAGATAGATAGATAGATAGATAGATAGATAGATAGATAGATAGATTTGTTGTTGGGCTAAGGGATGCATTTTTTAAAAAATTTAAATCTGCTATTAATTTAAATGTGGGTCATGACAATTACAGATGGCAGAAATGGCAAATGAAATACATAAATGTACAAAATTTCAATTGCAGTATCAGCCTTCATCTGTGATTTATGTAGGCTACAGTGAATGACTTAACTGTGAGCAAAACCAAAAGTAACCAAGTGTCCTCACAGCTCCAGTTTCACTGTATAACAACTAGATTGTGGTAATTTACTAGGTATGCACGATATATCGACCACATCGGTATCGGCCGATATAAATATGTTTTTCCCCATATATCGGTATTGGTCCGATGAACAAATTTAGCCGATGTGGAAAAACCAATGATTGTCTAAAATTAGCGCCTTTATCTCTACATTTGATATTGCTGCTATTTCACAGATGTTTTTACCTAAATGGTCCTGGACTTGAATGTTAAAATGATAAAACATGTTTAAATAAGTTTTACTTTTGTTACGTAATAAAGAAGACTATGGGGTCTAATTTGGTATGAGCTTCTTTTGAATAGTTTTCACATTCTCACAGTGCCTACCTATACTCATTTTTCGGTGTGAACAAAAATTAAATATCGACATCGGTAATATCGGTTATCGGCGATATCAGAAATCTTAATATTAGATATTGGTAGAAAATGTAATATCGTGCATCACTATAATTTACCCACAATTTTGTTTTGGAACAGGGATAATAAGGGATGTGAAAGGGGCCAAAATCTTTATAGGCATGTTTCGCTGCTCGACATCCAGCTTGTTATAGTTATTTCAGGCAAACAAGACCAGGCTCTATCTCAGCGAATGGGAAGAGAAAGCCATAACTGCAATTTGAGTAGTCACCGGGACATAAAAACACCATGTAGAGAATAATAAATAAATAAAAAAATGCCTTAAAAGTTTGGTGTCTTTGCCATAAAAGAAGTTTTAAAAAGCGTTTTCTCCACAGACTATACTTCTACTCCACATGCATACATATTCACAGCACCATGCTTGCATTAGCGCAAGAACAAGATTGGTTGGACGTTTGGTGTAATGAAGACAATTGATTTTATGGGGTGATGTGCAGGACATGAGTCATACAATCACCTTCTTTGGTGTTACAGAATTCTCTTATAGATTTCCCATAGATTCAGGATTCTTTAAGTGGCAAGTCTCTCCCTGATAACATCTTTGACAGATCTTTTCACAGAAGAGATGTCTGACATCTCACAACAGGAAAAGGTGCAGGTGAAAATGGTAATGTCTGCATTTCCTTGAGCTCCCTCAGTTTCAGGATCCTGCTATAAATGCATGCTGCAATGTTGCAGCTAAGTAAAAGCTTCTAAAGTTTTCTGTCTTCATTCTGAATGGCCCTCAGTGTATACTGTCCATACTGAGCATGTCTACAGTATATTGCAGTGGTGCTATTAAATTGCAGGGTTCACTACATTGCAGACTGCTAATACTGTATACACCAAACAGGGATAATGCATAATGCAGGGCTCTGAGTCACATCTAGATTGCTTACTTGGCATTTTCTTTTTCAAACCAGTGAATGCTGTTTGACACAGAGCCAACAAGCCAGAGACTTAAAGTAGATTTGTTTACTCCAAGAGTGTTTTAGATATCTTAAGCCAGAGATAATTTGTGTCTCATCTCCTGGAGCAAGTCCTAATTGAACCAGAGGTGAAAAACTAGTCCCTTTTCTTTCTATCTCTTTCCTCTAACCCTCTCAGTGATGCTCTACAGTCCCTTTTGCTGTTCCAGGATTTCTCTTGTAAGGCATCTCACATGAAGTGAGGTCATCTTCGTATTAGTGTCTCTCTCTCTCTCTCTCTGCGATGAATCAATTTCTGCTCCCTCCCTCCTTGCAGACTTGGCTGCTGTACATTCCAATCAGTCAATAATATATAGAGAACAAATGATACCACACAGGGAGGGAGGACAAGAAATATTCAACATTCTGAAATCTGAGCAAAAATCTGTAGATTTTGGTTTCACTGTGTGTTTTTTTTTATCATTGAAATTACAGACATGACATTCCTGTCAATGGTATTACAAGCAAATGGCAAATGATAATGACCCTGTGTAATCAATGTGTTCCAGCAGCTATATTTAGAATAGAACAGCTGCAGCTGCCCTGAAGTTTCTTCTTTCTTTCTTTCTTTCTGGCCTCCTGTGAAAGTGAAACGTGCACATGTATTAGCATGTTTCTGCATCACTCCCAGTGCCTTCACCTTTGCTCCTTAAAGTGCTAGTGTGACTCAACAGTGTGTGACAGAAATTCCCCTCCTACTAGCCTCTCCATCATGAAATCCTTCAAAAAAGAAAAAAAAAAACAGTGAAGCTAAGCCAAAAGCAACCAATATGCATTTATCCCAAGGATTAAGACAGCTTTAGACCACACTGCGAGTCAGCAGAGTAAGGCACTGACTGTGCCTCAGTGTTTGTAATAGCTTGGGTTCAAAGCCCTCACATCTATCACATACAATAACCAGTGTCACGTGCCTTATTGTGCTTTTTTCTGCTGTGCATCCAGTAAAAGCAGAAATGTCAGAAATTCATCTTAAAAGGACAGCTTTACTCTGCAAATCCACTGGATAATCTGTGATCTGTCTGTGTTTGTATGTGAGCCCAGATCCCAGCGGTCCTTTCCATGTGACTGTCAGGGAAATCTCTGCTTTACACTGACTTACATAACGTCACTGCAGCAGCAACATCTGGGAGCTTCTGTATCACAGCTGGACTGGAGACAGCATGTTTGTTTTAAATGTGAGAGGTTGACTGGGACGTGCATATTGTTGGAGCTGAGATGAAAACCTCACATTGCTCAATGGTAACCTTTTTAAAGGACTGAGTTAAGGACTATTTCTGTGATGAATGTGAAATTTACTGAGGAGGGTTACAAGGCAACTGCAATTTTTGTTTATACCAGACAAAGCTTCCTCTATACATGTGGGGGAAAAAAAACAAAAAAAAAAACATGATCCTGATTCTATATTTGGAAATTAATTCTGTGATGCATCATGCATTCTGCTTAATGATGTCAAATCATGTAACACACAATATGCTGTATGACCTGAGGTGATTTCATATACTTTAGGTCACATTAAGCATAAGTCAGACCATGGACCGTGCTCACACACAACTGCTGCCAGCTGAAATATGTGCTTAATGCACATCTTTGTACCTGAGACAGGCGACTGCTGGCCAGTGATCCATGATGCCCTCATGTCTGTCATGGAAATAGATGGCACGGCACCAGATAATGTCTGGCAGTCTTCCCAGTGTTGTATTGAATTCAACTTATACTGCAATCTTGCAAGTGCTTGTCATAAAGTGCCGTAGGCTAACATGTTGAAATGATGTACCATACAGCACAAAGGGTAGAAATCACTCTTCTTGCGTGTGTGGCCTATGGGTTAACATAATTTGTATGATTGTATGTGTCATGTAAGACAGTGCAATTTTAACTGTGGCTGGGAGATACTGACAAAACATTACATCTTTATGCTTTCAGAATGTATAACAGTGTTTCCATGCAAAAATAATCTTGTGTGCAGTGGTGGAAGAATCAGCACCGCAATGCGGTGTAGAAATACTCCATTAAAAACAAGTAGAGCATCCAAAAATCAAAAGTTATGCAACACCTAATGAGTCACACGATGATGAATGATGTTATTATTGATTAATCATGAAACATAACTCAACATCTTGCATAGTTGTACATAGAGGGAAAATATAGATGGTTGACAAACTGAAGGAAAAACTAACACAAGGGGTCTTAGTCTTAGTGAGGTGTTGGGCTGCCATGTGTTGCCAAAACAGCTTCAATGCACCCGGACTTTGATTCTCCAAGACTCTGGGATTCTACTGGAGGGATAAACACCGTTTTCAAAAAAATATTCCCTTATTTGGTGTTTAGATGATGGTGATGGAGAGCGCTGTCAAACACCGCAGTCCAAAATCTCCCAGAGGTGTTGACTTAGGTGGAGATCTGGTGACTGTAAAGGCCACAGCAAATGTTGTACATCATTTTCATACTCATCAAAGAATACAATGACTCATCATGCCCTATGGATTAAGGCACTGTCATCCTGGAAGAGACCACTCACTCACTCACGCCATCAGGATAGATTTTTTTTTACAACAGGAAAATAATGAAACATGTTTTTTTCCCCCTTTTATTTGGCGCTTGTCTGTATTTTCCTTCTGTCCCCTACAATTGTTGCCTCTTGACACCCAAATGGTGCTCATTGGCAAATAGATTGTACCTCTCCTCTCCTCTCCCGGTCAGTGTGTATGACAGCATTGAACTGGCTTAATTCATCAGTCCTGTTTAACCATGCCGTGGCTGATCCTCTTGGTAAATACACCAGCGCTAAGTGGCTTTCAATCATTACCACCAAGTATCCCTAATAGTGCTAATAGGCTTAGGACAAGTTCTCCCTCTCAGCCGAGACCCCCTCTCACCATTTAATGCTTGCTTGCTCAGGCTTTTCCGCTGTATGCGTGTATATTAGCGTCTGTCTTGTTGTGTTAGCATGATTATCTATCTTACTGCGAGGACCAGGACTTGAGGGAGCCTAACTGAAATGGTCACCCTGCCTCTTAGGGAAAGAGAGAATAAATGGATTCGCTTTTAAGCTGGATGGCTGAATCAATACCAAATGACCATTAGTCTAGAAGAAATAAATAAATAAATAAAATGCTGCTTTCCGATACGCGCATGCATTAAAGGCATACAGAAAGAAGTGGCTGACTGTTGGTTTTTTTTAGATGATGAGCAATACGGACCTCCAGAGAGG